AAAAATGAAGCATCGTGTCGAACGTCTGCTGAATTCAAACTGGGATATTAATGGTATCGAATTACTAAGAGTTTTTTTTTTTTTTTGTAATTATTCCAATAGGCTACAAAAACAAATTGAATTGACTTGAAGGCAATTTTTCAAATTATTCTCGTCATATGGAACCGATTGCTTTCTTTAGAATGTTGATGTTTCGTCAAGATGTGGTTAGTATTATTTGATATTAGTGTTTCGTCAAGATGTGGTTAGTATTATTTAGTCTTAACTTATGTTAAGATGTGATCAGTATTATTTGATATTAGTGTTTCGTCAAGATGTGGTTTGTATTATTTGATATTAATGTTTAGTCAAGATGTGGTTTGTATTATTTGATATTAGTGTTTCGTCAAGATGTGGTTAGTATTATTTGATATTAATATTTCGTTAAGATGTGATCAGTATTATTTGATATTAGTGTTTCGTCAAGATGTGGTTTGTATTATTTGATATTAATGTTTAGTCAAGATGTGGCTAGTATTATTTGATATTAGTGTTTCGTCAAGATGTGGTTAGTATTATTTGATATTAATATTTCGTTAAGATGTGATCAGTATTATTTGATATTAGTGTTTCGTCAAGATGTGGTTTGTATTATTTGATATTAATGTTTCGTCAAGATGTGGTTAGTATTATTTGATATTAATGTTTCGTCAAGATGTGGTTAGTATTATTTGATATTAGTGTTTCGTCAAGATGTGGTTAGTATTATTTGATATTAGTGTTTCGTCAAGATGTGGTTAGTATTATTTGATATTAATGTTTCGTCAAGATGTGGTTAGTATTATTTGATATTAGTGTTTCGTCAAGATGTGGTTAGTATTATTTGATATTAGGGTTTCGTCAAGATGTGGTTAGTATTATTTGATATTAATGTTTCGTCAAGATGTGGTTAGTATTATTTGATATTAGTGTTTCGTCAAGATGTGGTTAGTATTATTTGATATTAGTGTTTCGTCAAGATGTGGTTTGTATTATTTGATATTAGTGTTTCGTCAAGATGTGGTTAGTATTATTTGATATTAGTGTTTCGTCAAGATGTGGTCAGTAATATTTGATATTAATGTTTAGTCACGATGTGGTTAGTAATATTTGATATTAATGTTTCGTCAAGATGTGGTCAGTATTTTTTTATATTAGTGTTTAGTCAAGATGTGGTCAGTATTTTTTTATATTAGTGTTTCGTCAAGATGTGGTCAGTATTTTTTTATATTAATGTTTCATCAAGATGTGGTTAGTATTTTTTGATATTAGTGTTTCGTCAAGATGTGGTCAGTAATTGTTGATATTAATGTTTAGTCAAGATGTGGTTAGTATTATTTGATATTAATGTTTAGTCAAGATGTGGTCAGTATTATTTGATATTAGTGTTTAGTCAAGATGTGGTTAGTATTATTTGATATTAATGTTTAGTCAAGATGTGGTTAGTATTTTTGGATATTAGTGTTTCGTCAAGATGTGGTTTGTATTATTTGGTATTAGTGTTTCGTCAAGATGTGGTCAGTATTATTTGATATTAGTGTTTCGTCAAGATGTGGTCAGTATTATTTGATATTAGTGTTTCGTCAAGATGTGGTTAGTATTATTTGATATTAGTGTTTAGTCAAGATGTGGTTAGTATTATTTGATATTAATGTTTAGTCAAGATGTGGTTAGTATTTTTGGATATTAGTGTTTCGTCAAGATGTGGTCAGTATTTTTTTATATTAGTGTTTCGTCAAGATGTGGTTAGT